AAAAAAAAAAGAAAGAAAAACAAACAAACAAACAAACAAACAAAAACAAAAGGAAAATACAGGAAAAATCTGAAAACTGGGATAAATGGACAAGACAAGACGCGTTAGGAGACAACGTGACACAATGCGACGCGATGAGGCACGACGAGACGAGACTAGACGAGTAAGGGAAGAGATTATACAACTGCTGTTGCTTCAGTTCACAGAGGATACAAACGTGGTTAACGGGTCAATACAAAGTAGAATTGACTCTTTCGCCTCGTTTGCGTGACAAACCGCTGATAACTATAATAACACCTATTCAGAGGTAACTCGTGTTGTTTCTTTTTCTTTTCTTTCTTTTTTTTTTTAACCAGGATTATGAGGACACAGGAAGTGAAACCAATAGCAATCCATCTTATTTTGAGTGTGACTTCCCTCAGTGTAATGCTGTAAGTTTCTTTGCCNTTTTTTTTTTTTTTTAATTGAAATAAAGAAGAAGAAACAAATATTAAAAAGCAGATTCCTGGAGTTGAGTCCGGGAAATTTGATTCAGGATAAACTCACTTACCCACTGCAACATCGGAGTGCCAGCTGAAAGAAGCCGATTTTTGTTTTAGTCTATACACACTGCAAACCTTAATATGTGTAATTCAGTGTCACATTAAGTGCAAAGTGACAGCTAACATCTAACTGCAAGCAAACCGGAGAAGTGCTAACCATAATTAGTACAAATCTACAAGCGTTCTATCACGATTGCCGTTCTCTGATTGGCTACGCTACCCACTATCTATTCTGTGATAGACAGAATGTCGCGCGACAGCATTAGACGATTGACTTACGTCATCGCCTAAAAAAGCCAATTGCTTCGCTCAAGGTTCCTCTCCCAAAGATATAGTTTTCTCTTTTCAGTCTTCTTTCCGGTGTGGAACACGGTCTGTATGTATCTCACTTTTATCAGACTTTAGTGATAGCCTTGTTACATGTTGATATGAAATGTAACAGTACTTATAAGAATAATGCAAATACAGACACACAACTACGTATATATAATAAGGGAAAGTCCCTTCGTAAAATATGGAAATCGCATGCTTCATTGGAAATTGATTGCTGGGCGGAAATAAGTCACGAATTTTGTCAGCCACATATTACCCTGAAGCTGGGTTTACCGCAAAATCGAAACATTTTGCTTTTCAGTTTACTTGAAATCTGCCACTCCCTTTTGGGTAAGTACATGGCTGTTTCAAGTAGTCAAAAGCACTTGCATTTTCCTGTTGGAAGGCAACTCAGCTCTTTCGTTTAAGATTTGGCATTTATGCGAACCTCGTATTAGTTAATGACTTATATTAAGTGGTGGAAATGTAAGATCGATTGCCTGTAAGGTACACTAGTCGCGTCGCTCGGTTTGGTGAGCTTTGAAAGCTCTGTATCAATTTTATTTGAAGAGGCTGTGAAATGTTGCTCACTGCATTGTTTGTGTTAATGCCGTTGATCTGTCCTATTGTGTTATCAGGTGCCAATTGCGCTTACCATGAGTGGCATCTTGTGGATTTGCACGCTGTCTGTAGTGCTTATCCTGATTCAGAGGCTATCTATGAACGTTTATGAAGGTAAGTTGACAAAATAGGTAGAAGGCTACCGATTTTGGCCGTCGTTGCATGTTTTCCGATGAAGCATTCTTCTACCCAAAATAACAAAACAATCAGGGCATAATTAATTCAATTACAAGGCCCCTGCTAATGTTACACATTTTTCTCTGTGTTTAAGCAAAGCACGCAGTACAAATGAGGCACACAGCAGGCCAGTTGAAACCGGTAATACTGGTGTAAAGAAGAAGTGATGCGCTTTGTTTTTATTTGCGACTGAAGTATGGAGTAAGCATTTGCTCTAAGGGCGTTGGGCAGGCAAGCGTTCAAAATCGGGTGACTAATTTTTTTTCTCAAGGCCTTCTGACACAACCGAGAGCAAATTAGCTGGCGCGTGCTCTTGTATTTCAATGGAGTATGGGAAAATGTCGCGGGGTTTCTATGGTTTTGCATTACGTCGACCGGTGACGTGACTGCTTTAAAATCCCACTATGACCACTGATAAACGGACAGTACTCACAGAACTTGCGTGAAACAGTTTCAGCGACGAAAAAAAAAATATACACATAATAATAATAATAATAATAATAATAATAATAATAATAATAATAATAATAAATTATCAGTGTCGCTATGGCGTTTCTAAGGGAACTCACTTGCACAATAAATGCATATGCTTCCAGCTCGATTCGGTTCATCGTGTAGTTTGCGCTTCCTGGTATTGGAATACCATATATGGCAATTGCTCTTCTGTCGGTTTTTCGATTTTGAAATTAAAGAAATGAGAAGTCACAAGGACAGAAAAATATTAGGGTCACAAAGATTAGATAAATTGAAAAATGACCGCGGTGTATATTTTCCCATCTTGAAGAGCATCTATACTGGAGTAAATGAAACATTCGTTAGACATCTAGAAACAAAAGCCAGTGACCAAGCTTGTGCTAAACATACTAAAACTAAATTTTGTCTTGTGGTTTCTGCCACAGGGCTTGCTTTGGACGTCATGTTATGCATATATCAATGTTAATTCTGAGGGGGAGGGAACCTCAAGCATTTCTGGGACACTTGATATCGATTGCCTTTCCCACCTTCTGCGTTTGACTAAGACTTTTGGCCCTAGGGTAGGGACGTTTGATTTTATTTGCGAGGACTTCTGTTCGGTCATCCTTAACAAAATATGAAAAGAAAAAAAAATTAATGATAATAATAATAATAATAATAATAATAATA